TCATTCACTGCGAGGCCTGACCTATCTACGTACTTATGTGAACATATGTATGTATAAATATTTATATGTACGGACGTATGCATGTAGGTATATAGGTATCATAAAAATAATGTTTCTCACTCACCTGTCACCTCCAACGATGATGGTACCAGCACGTTGTTGGGAGCCTGTGGGGGGGAGAGATACCCTAACATATATGAAAACATGTATCATACATATATACACAAGTACACACTACTACGGTAGAGGTGCTATAGCACTATTCACTTTCCTGTCTATCATTCGCATGTGATCGCGGGCAACGAGCCGGTCGCCTTTAGTCTTACTATGCTAGACAGGGGTAACACGTGTAGTAGGTACTAAACAATTCAATTAAAGTGAACTAAAAAAAAACAAGCAAAATTAAAGATTGAATCCAAAAAAATAAAAAAGGTATAGAAAGTGCGTGTACTAGTGTGGGTACTAGTGAAAGTTCATACTTCAAGCAAAAAAAGGAATTACGCAGAAAGAAATGCCTAACTGAAAAACAAAATTTCTATGTGGGCTTTGTATGTATGTTTAAAAGGTCTTGGCCTAAAAAAAAAAAACGAATCAAAGTGCCCTTATATAAAAGTAAAATATCAAAATATATACATATATATATATAAATCACCTCTAAATTCATGCGGTGAATAAAAAAAATGGATATCACATAACCTAACTCAAAACCAAATTCAAAAGGCAGAAGGAATAATAACCTGGAAACTGGCGGTGTGGAAGTAAGTACTAAAAACTATATAAATAAAATGAAATGCCTAGGAAACTTCGAAATCGCAGGCTTAGGAATTACCACAAAATTAAAAATAGCAAAATTTAGCAAATTCAGTAACTAATCCTTAAAACATATATGTATATACCTATGTAGCTAATAAAACAAAGGAATTCAGTAACTAGGATGTACAGAAACTAAAGAAAAAGTACTAAAAACTGTATAAATAAAATGAAGTGCCTAGGAAACTTCGAAATCGTGAGCCTAGGAATTAATACAAAATTAAAATTAGCAAAATTTAGCAAATTCAATAACTAATCCTTAAAACATATATGTATATACCTATGTAGCTAATAAAATAAAAGAATTCAGTAAATAGTATGTACAAAAACTAAGGAAAAAGTACTAAAAATTTAGGCGAATGGCCTACAAAGCAAAGAGAGGGTTTATCATGCCGCTGCGTGTAGTTTTGTGACAGCCGCTCGCGTTCGTGCTGTTAAATGTTGTCCCGATGCTCCCACGTAGTTTTTGGTGTATTTTGCAGCTCATTCGTCTTCCAGCACTCTCTGCTATTGCTGACGGTACTCGCGGGTATATTCAACTATACTTTCCAGCGTGGTTAGGTGGTCATCAACCTACTATTTTGGGACGTATGATGGATCAGCTGTCCGCTGCTTCACGTCACAGCCCGACATACGTATACAATTATATAGTCGAAAAAAACTCAGTGCCTTCAATTTGCGTTGGTTTTTACATGTGTCGGTGCGTTTCGTGCTAGTGGTGCTGTGAAGTTGGTCGCTACTATCGGACGGACGTGATTGTGATGTAGGTAGCTTCTCCATTTGGATGTGATCCTTCTCAGGTCCCAACTGGATGGAGGTCATTTTGACCTATTTCCTCTGGCGACCTATCAAAGAGAAACAGAGTTTAGTCGATGTTTAAAAACATTATGTGAGCATTCGCAT